TCACGCGGCCGCTCGGCCATTCACTCTGGCCGGCATCAATTTTTATTCGGCCGTTTCTTTTATCGCTTTTTATGCTTGTACATTCGATGGCAGGGTGCCGATGTCGAACCACGCTGCTTTTCATCTCACCGAGAACGGTCTTTTTTATCTCTTAGTTTTCATTTCGACGTTAATTACCACCGATTCGTTTTATTTAATCCCCCCGAATTATTGCGGATTAAATAAATGAAATTTAATCGGCTTAATCTCGTACGGATAATTAATAATTAATCGAAGTTTTACAGTGTAAGGTGAAATAGGTTCGTTTCGATATCTCATTCGAATTTATTCGAAATTTTGGCTTTTTTATGTGAGTGAATTATCTATATTTATGTATGTGTTTATAACCAGAGTTCGGCGTTATTCGAATTTTTTCGAACTAGCGTCTACTAGTACAACGATGATTATCCGAATGAATTGTTTTTAGTTTAATAACGATTATTCATTGTTCATCATAAATTATTCTATTCATGTACTCGAATAATTCTTATTCGATCGAATTATCATTTTTATTCGAATCGATTATTTTCCGTATGAATTTCTGTACGAATAAATACTTGTTTGATTGAATTCTTAATGGAATACAATTTTATTCGGACGAACTTTCATCTAGATACATTTTTATTCGGTCGGATATTTATGCGATAATGACAAATAACATTTTGTTCGCTACTATTTATCTCTTATCCGTCAACCGAGTAAAATTTTAGTTACAAATCTTTTGTAACTACATTAAAACAATGAGAAACAATTATTAAAAAGTTCATAATATTTCTATGAACCAAATGAGAATAATGTTAGAAATATAAAGTAACTATTTTGTTATCTTATGAACTCGAATATCGGGAGAAAATTGAGTAGTAATTTCAAAAATTGTTACATCCACTTCGAAGACATGTTTAAAAAAGCATCATCAGCGTGCTTCTATCATCATAGCCCAAAGGTAGTAAAATATTAAAAACGATATATAATTTCAATTTAGATGAAAAATTGCGGTTATAAAACTTATCCATCTTCTAGAAACATGATACGATATCGTAATAAAAATCTGAAGAACGAAAGTTGCCCCAAATATTTTAATAAGACTGTAGGTTACTCATGTTTTCAATCAGAGGTAGACGTGAGTCACAACTGTTGGTTCATTAAGCCTTATGATTTATGAACATAAATATATGAAAATGCGCATTTCATCTTCTCATTCGTTGCACAATCCAGCTCGAATGTACCATTAATTCACGATCCGGAAATGAAACTCTTATTTGATCGATATCCCAGATAATCGATCGTTTTATTAGCCCATCTAAGTTAATCTGTCTTACTATTTCAATTCGAATTTTTATGAAACGCAGTCGTAAATATCAGACATTTTTTACAATAATCGTAGAACTTACGAGAAGAAATTGCTCAGAATGTAATCATTAGCCTGCGGATTTTATTCGTTTATGGAAAAAATAGGTAAATGATATACGTGGTGATCCACTTGAATCGATCCAGTCAAATATCCTCTAAACCAATTATTTTTCGGAATAAATACCTTAGTACGTTTATAAAGAGAATGACGAGCTGAATCGATTAGTATAATAAAAAATACATGATTCCATTTAAAAGAATTAAGTTGACCTTTGTATCTCCTCGACGCGTTCATCTAGGAAAATCTTATTAATATCAGATTATATGCCACTTAAAACCATTCAAATTTCATTTGAAACATTTGTTAGTATCATCGACGGTTTCGAAGATATTTGACTGGACCGATTCGAATGGGTCACCCTGTATAGAACAGTGAAGACGCCAGAGGAATGTAAAAATCTCGGTACAATTATCTTCAATTTATTGGAACTATTGAAAAAGGAAAGATCCGAAGTCTAGTGATCAATAAAATTTATATTTTTATTTAAAAAATTAATGTACACAGTTAAGAGCTTTCGCATTCGAAGCTGTTTCAACTAAAAAATTAGGATTATTAAACTTTTAACGTGTAGTACTTCGATTTTGTGTAAATTTAGTCGTACTGTACCTACATTTTTAACAACTCTTTAAATACATACAGACCAATCTGATAATGAAATCATTACTTCAAAAAATGATATAGCAATTTTTAATGATAACAAGGATATTGCAGTATTTCTTTAAACAGACTTCAAAATTTCGGTCTATTCTCATATTATGAAAAAATATAAA